CAGATCAGAAGCCCTCCACCAAAATACTGCCTGTACCACTTAACCCAACCAAACGGCTATTGACTGGTCATTTAATTTATCTGAGACTCAATTTTCTATCTCTACATCAGTAGCAATACTATTTCTTTGAGAAAAGACCAAATGTAACAAGAGTGAAACCGGTTTTAAATAGGAACATAGGTCATCTAAGTGCTAGTAATCTTGCAATGATAAACAGTTCTAGGACTTTTGAATGGATAGCCTCTCATTCCTAACCTGATTTTCCTGCTAATGACATATGGGCCATTAGGCCTCTTTAGGGGACCTTGGCTGAGCCAGTTTGGTTTACAAGCATTTGGCTAACAACCTAATCACAGAGGACTGGCAGAGCATGTTTTATTTTTTGGTACCTAGTTGTTTATCCTGGAAAGTTTCTTTGAAATGTCTTAACAGCATTTATTCTCCTGTTCTTCTTGCTCCTTTACTTTGCATAATTTCTTACCCTTTCAGACTCACAAAGAAACAATTTTCCCCATTGCTATTTGGGGGGAGAATTTGGGGTTCTTTGAGAGAAGCAATATTATTTCTTCCCCCACTCTTAGCCACAGCCAAGTGACTGTAGTTCAGTAAGTTCTCTTTTATTCACCCACATCGATAAATTCCTCTTAAAAAAAAAAAATAGTTTCCACTCAAAGCCTTTCATCTGTTGATCTCAGCACTTCAGAAACTAATTAATCTTCACTCTATGCTTGCATCAGCATTATCCCTTTTGTTTTCAGATGAGCAAACAAACACTATGAAATTTAGCAGATTGCTCAAGGTCAAATAGAGTAGTATCTGAGCCTGATTTGAACTCAGAATCCCATATTTTCAAGGCTGGGGATGGAAACACAAGAAGGTGAAAAAAAGTACACAGTTGAGAGTGCCTGACACGCCTCACCATGCCTGCCTGCATCTCATGATGTCACTATAACTAGTGCTAATAGGGAGTGACATAGAGTATCCTCTTATAAACAGTTTCCAAAATGAAGTCGTTACTCAAGATTCTTGATGAAAACACTGCAGGATATCCCTCCTATTTTGTTTCTTCCTTCCCTATGTAAGGTGATCACAATTCCCAGCTTGCCTGGGACAGTTCAGTTCAGTTCAGTCGCTCAGTCGTGTCCGACTCTTTGCGACACCATGAATCGCAGCATGCCAGGCCTCCCTGTCCATCACCAGCTCCCGGAGTTCACTCAAACTCATGCCCATCGAGTCGGTGATGCCATCCAGCCATCTCATCCTCTGTCATCCCCTTCTCCTCCTGCCCCCAATCCCTCCCAGCATCAGGGTCTTTTCCTATGAGTCAGTTCTTTGCAAGAGGTGGCCAAAGTATTGGCATTTCAGCTTTAGCATCAGTCCTTCCAATGAACACCCAGGACTTATCTCCTTCAGGATGGACTGGTTGGATCTCCTTGCAGTCCAAGGGACTCTCAAGAGTCTTCTCCAACACCACAATTCAAAAGCATCAATTTTTTTGCACTCAACTTTCCTCACAGTCCAACTCTCACATCCACACATGACCACCGGAAAAACCATAGCCTTGACCAGACGGACCTTTTTTGGCAAAGTACTGTCTCTGCTTTTTAATATGCTATCTAGGTGGGTCATAATTTTCCTTCCAAGGAGTAAGTGTCTTTTAATTTCATGGCTGCAATCACCATCTGCAGTGATTTTGGAGCCCCCAAAAATAAAGTCTGACATTGTTTCCACTGTTTCCCCATCTACTTCCCATGAAGTGATGGGACCAGATGCCATAATCTTAGTTTTCTAGGCCCATAAACCAGCTTTGTGGCATAGTGATGAAAACGAACCTCCTTTTCCTCTCAAGAGTACTCCAGTTAAGACAAGGAGTTAACAGGTCACCTTGCTGATGAAATATTTGGACCACTGGCATAACATGATGAGGTTGGTAAAAACAAAGCCAGTCCCCTCCCCCAAACCAAAACCCAGGAAAGAGCACAGTGCTGTGTGTCCAAAGAAACAGTGAGCAGAGACCATGTGGGATGGTGAAGTGCGAAAAGATGGAAAGAAACAAGCAGTGGGAGCTTGGCAGAAGCAGTGATTCTGAGAAAGGGGAGATTCTCAAAAGGGAACTGGAGCGTTTGGTGGGTCCTCAAGTGTTTGGAACTGCAGTGTTGGAGAAGACTCTGGAGAGCCCCTTGGACTGCAAGGAGATCAAATCACTCAGTCCTCAAGGCAGTCAACCTCGAATATTCATTGGAAGGACTGATGCTGAAGCTGAAGCTCCAATACTCTGGCCACCCGATCTGAAGAGCCAACTCATCTGAAGTGACCCTGATGCTGGGAAAGATTGAAGGTAAATGGAAAAGGGGGCAACAGAGGATGAGATGGTTGGATGCCATCACCGACTCCATGGACATGGGTTTGGGTAAACTCCTGGAGACAATGGAGGACAGAGGAGCCTGGCTTGCTACAGTCCTGGGGGTCGCAAAGAGTCAGACACGATTGGCGACCAAACACCACCACCAACAAGGGTTTGGATACATGGAGGTGAGTACCCAAGCATCAGCAAAGGTCTCTTGTTCCAGGTCAGCACAGAATTAGCAGAGCAGTTCCTTTTTAAATGAACTGGGCAAGTTTAATTATGAGCCTCCCAATAACACTCATGAGGTCCCATAGATAACTGGTTCTTTCTTATACTCCAAGCTTTCCTAAACTCCACAATGAACGTCCATATAATAGGTAGACAGTCATAGATTCCATCCCCACTCCCCATAAACAGCTGTGATTGAATTTCTCAAAACTCTGGTGACTGGATCCTTGGAACCTTTTATTTAGGAAAATAAAATAATGAGACATTTTCTATAACTACATATGGTAGGTTAAATTCATACCAACTCCACCAGTCAAAAAGCAAATAGCTTTTGGCTGCAAAGTATGTCTACTGCTAAAAGTTCTCAAACATACATTTCAAAGACTACACAAAAGAGACAGAGTGCTCAATTGACTCCATGTCCCTGCTTGGTTGGTCCCGGTCCACTGCTCAACACCCCTTCAAGACAAAAGACAGGACCGCATGCCTGATTTATTGAGCATCTTGAAACAAGCCATTATGAAAGACTTCAGTCCATTGTTCTTCTGTGGCAGAAGAGGGTGGGGCTAACGGTTTATCCCTCATCTGGTGTTCCATCAGATAAAAATATGCCCGTGACGTGTAACTTCAATTGTGCATATGGTTTACTAAACTGTAAACGATTAATTTATTATCCAATTTTCTTGTCAGTTTGAGAGATGTTTTTTAATCCCTGCAAAGCAAGGAGGGAATTTAACATACCATCTAGTTTCTCAAGGTTCCAGTCTGGAGGGCCCCCAAGTATTTATGGAAGGCCATCTCCTCTGAGTCGCTGTCTGCATCTCATTAAGGTGGGTGGGGGCAGGAGTCTCTAAGTTCCCTCGGGAAGTTTCCACAATGCAGAGAGTGAAGGGACAGGGACATCACCATAGTCTAGCATATTCCATCAGGACCCTATATTTTGACCTTTCAGACTACATGCGTGCATGCTAAGTCGCTTCAGTCATATCCGACTCTTTGAGACCCCATGGACTATATAGCCTGCCAGGCTCCCCTCTCCATGGGATTCTGCAGGCAAGAACACTGGAGTGGGTTGCCATGCCCTCCTCCAGGGGATCTTCCCCACCCAGGGATCGAACCAGCGTCTCTGATGTCTGTTACACTGGCAGGGGGGTTCTTTACTACTAGAGCCACCTGGGAAATCCCCGCAAACTGCATAGAACATGGTAAAATTTAGCTTTAACTTTCTAGCTTTGTATTTACACAAATGGAAATGGTATTTTTTTTGCTCCTGAGGTTCAAATGAACAAACTATAATTGGTTACCTCTCAGTTTCTTGGTGAAACCATATTACTATTTTTTTGCATATAAATTTTACTTATTTGGCTGTGTAGGGCCTTAGTTGCATCATGCAGGATCTTTCATTGCAGCACATGGACTCTTTAGTTGAGACACTTGGGCTTCATTTTTGCATGTGAGATCTTAGTCCTCTGACCTGGGATCAAACCCACTTCCCCTGCATTGCAAGGTGGACTCTTAACCACTGGACCACCAGGGAAGTCCCCCATATTACTATTACTAAACTATAAGCTCTGACGTACTTAAGATCCTCTACGATTCAGAAAACAATTACCTGGAAATACTGTGTTACTCTCCTTCTTACAGCACAGGCTTCTCTTGAAATTCAATGGAAACAAAATAAGACTCTGTCTTCTTTTAAGTTAAAACACTTGCAAAATATCTTAAAACATAGCCTCGCCAGGAAAAGGTTGCTCTGGCCCACAAATTTAGAAAAGAGCCTTTTCAAAGACAGCAATTTGGAGGCTATTTCCCTCTCAAGGCATAGGACAGAGTCACTCTGGGTGTAAGTTTCCTTGACCAAAGTATAAAACATTGAAAAAGGATTACCTTCTATGGCTTCTCTTCATAAACCAGGAATCTGAGCTCCTTCTCCACTTAGAAAAATCCTACTCATTCTTCTAAAGTTTTACAGCCTCTGAGCAGCCTCCCGTGACTTTCCCTGAAAGAATTATTCAGTCTTTCCTCCACTCTGCCACATGCTGAACATACATTTATTAGAGTGCATTGTAATGAGCACGATGTATCTATTTGTTTTCTCTCACTCCACTGTGAGCACCGCAAAGAAGGGAGAGGTATTGGATTTGTTATTCAAAAATATATCTAGGAATTCTCTTTCATCTTCGCCCTGCTGGTCGGGTCCATCCAGTTCATAAATAAGTTCTGCCTGCTTCACCCACCACACACTTGCCCATGGGACTTTTGTTTCCACGGCTATTCCCTCTCATCACAGCACCATAACCTCTCACTGGGGCCGTGATTATTTTTTTTTTCTTCCGCTTTTGCCCTTCCATCTTCCCTTGGTTCAGAAGACATGGAGTGATCTTTGAAAAATCGTAAATCAAATCATGATACCCTCCTGTTTCAGATGTTCAGTGGATTTCCATGGAACCCAGAATCAAATGCAAACGTCTCAGAGGCCTGCAAACCCAACTTGAGTGGTTCTCAACCGAAAGAGACCTTGCCGTGGCTGGAGGGGACTCGTGACGATGTCCGGGGACACTCGTGGTTGTCACAGCTGGAAGAGGGCAGGGTCCTGGCATCGAGAGGGCGGAGGTCAAACATCCTTCCATACGTCCTGCGGCGCACAGGACTGCTCCATATCCAGGAACTGTCCAGCCCCAAAAGCAGCAGCGTTGAGGCCGAGAAACCCCACTCCCTGGACTGGCTGCCTGCTTCCCTCCCCAACTGTATCTGATGCTGCCCTCCTACCACCAGCCAAACCCATCTCATCTGTTCCTTCCTGGTTCCAGCAAGCTTCCAGTAAACTCACCCCCACCCCACAGCCTTTCTGCTAATTCTGCCCTCAGACTGAAGTGCTTCCCTTGATATTTACATGGTTGGGCCTCCCTGGTGCCTCAGTGGTAAAGAATCTGCCTGCAACACAGGAAACCCAGGTTCGATCCCTGGTCAGAAGATTCCCCTGGAGAAGGAAATGGCAACCTACTCCAGTATCCTTGCCTGGGAAATCCCATGAACAGAGGAGCCTGGCGGGCTACAGTCCACGGGGTGGCAAAGAGTCAGACACAATTGAGTGACTGTGTCATGTGGATTTCAGCTTAAATGTTATCTCTTAGAAAAAAACCACTTTTAAGTCTCATGATTAAAACCCCACCGAGCCCCTTACTGTCACATGAACTGAGGTTAATCCGTAGTTTATTTTTATTTCCTTTAAATCACAATTTAAATCATAACCACCTTTTTCGTACATATTTATTTATTTCAATCACCCAGTAAATTAAATCAGGGGTCCCCAACCTCCAGGATCTAAAGCCTGATGATCTGAGATGGAACTGATGAAATAATAATAGAAATAAAGTGCACAATAAATGTAGTTCAGTTGAATCACCCAAAACCATCCCCCCCTCAACTGCCTGAAGAAAAATTGTCTTTCACAAAACCAGTCACTAGTGCCAAAAAGGTTGGGGGTGGCCAAATTAAATATTCCCAGCCTTCTCTATTTTGTTTTCTGTTTTAGTCTCAGAAACTAACACAGTGCCTGGGTATATTCCAATCACTCAATATGCTTTTTTCAAAAATCAACAAATATATTTATAAATGATTTTCTCAAAGTAAGACACAAGGTCTCTGCCTCATCCGTCAGGTCAATGCTATTCCCACAACTTCACTCAGGTTCAGAATTTGCGGTGGGAGGGGCGGGCTTCGACTTTCCACCTCTGAACCAGGGAATAACTAGAAAGGCACCTCTAAGAGCTAAGTGGAAAGGCTTGGGTGTATGGATATGCAAATTCATCTAATACACAAGTATAAACAGGAGTACTAATGGACGCAGGTATAAAGTGACTGTGATTACAGCAAACCTTCTAATTAACAGATTAGTGTCCACGTAACGGGTAACAGAGGACACAGTGCTCTCAGCTCGGACTGTTCCCAGGCCTCCCTCCCTTCACAGTCATGAGAAGATGGAAAGATGGAATTCCTGACCTAAACCAATTCAGCGCAAAACACGCACCCTGCCTGGTCATCCAAACAGCCAACAGATCATCCCTGGCCACATTTTCTCAGCACCAATGTATTTCTGCCAGAAATGTCGAGATGGTGACTCAGGGCCCGTGAGTCGCCGGAAGAGGTACAATCGCAGGATCCCGAAGCGGCAGAATGCAGCATCAATTTTTATCACAAGCCTTACTGGCCCACGCGCTGACTTCTCCCAGGGGCAGCCTCGTGCCCCGAGCCCCTATGCCTCCTGGCCCACAGTCATTTGTCTGGCAGCTGTGACCTGCGCTGAATGTCTGAGCAGGGTGGCCGTCGCTGATGGGTTCTGAGAAAAGTCCCTCTTGTGTTTACTCCCATCCTTCAATTTTGCTCTTGCCGTTGTTTAATCGCTAAGTCGTGTCTGACTCTTCTCTCACCTCATGGATCGTAACCTGCCAGGCTCCTCTGTCCATGGGATTTCCCAGGCAAGAATACTGGAGTGGGTTGCCATTCCCTTCTCCAGGGGATCTTCCTGACCTGGGGATGGAACTCAGGAGTCCCCCACACTGACAGGCAGATTCTTCACTGCTGAGACACCAGGGAAGCCCCAGTCAAATTTTTGGTGCTTGTGAATACACCACCCTCATAGCGGAGCCTGGAGGGAGGAATTCAAGATCACAGGTTCTTAGGAGAGTAATTGGACTAAGTGAGCCTTCATTTTAAAGTTGTGGGGATGAGAGTGAAGAAATCTAATATTTCAAAAGCCAGGTGTCTGCTTTCATGAGGATGTATTTAATGATCTTATTTTCTTGAACACTGTCAAGAAAAAAAAAAAAAAACCAGGGTGTGGGTTAATGATTGAAAAGTCTTTTAAACAACAAGCAAAGGCTATATGAGGTGACAGCGGGTCTGCGCGAACACCAACATGCACCTGCTCTGCACTGTCCTGTGTGTGTTTGTCTGTGTTCTTAAGTCACTCTTTTATTTTTCCTGCCAGAGCCTCCAGGAACAGAAAAGAATGAAGCGGGCAACCCTTCACCCACGTCCCCCGTGGTGTTCCCACCCTCAGAGTCCCCCGTAGTGATCTGAAAGTACTAATGAGACCCCACAACAGTTAGAACTCTCTCGGCTGCAGCTGGTAAAAACTGCAAAGCCAAGGCTGTCTTCAGAGGGAAAGCAGCAAACGCCTTGTGTATCTCCCTGTGATGACTTGTTTCTCTTTCCCCCATACATGTCACTTCTTCTGATTGCTTTATTTATGTGTCCATTTGTTTGCGGCTGCTCTTCTGCTCCTCCCACTAGGTCATAAGCTGTGTCCAAGTGCAGGAAGCGTGTGTGCTGTATCTACACCATTGGGACTAAGTAGATATTGAATAATTATCATCAGTTGAATGAATGGAGAAAGATTTGGACTCACCCATGCAAACACACAAGAACTGAATAAGAACTGAAGGTAGGAAATAATCCCAAAGGTTAAGGACAAGCTGGCATGAGAGAACAGGAATCACCCCTCTGGGTACCGGTTTATCTGGCAAAATGCCGGGCCCAAATGAAGCTGTGCCGTATCTACACCATCATGTGATCATGCGAACACGCCAGCCAGATGGAGTTGAGCAACGTGTCCCCAAGTGGAACCCCCAAGGGGAAGTTGTGGGAGGAGGTCCTAAAGGAAGATCTCATGGGCTTACCCTATGCAAAGATAGCATTTCAGTCACCGGGTACTAGAATCTGAGACTTTACAGCAAGGGGATCATTTCTTTAGCTTGTGGCTAATAGCTGTCTAAGAACTTGTGATATTCCGGTCTTTGTGCAGTTTGGGGATCATTAATTCACTGAGTTCTCACAACAGTACTATGAGACAGCATTGTCCCCATTTTTAAGATGGGACAACTGAGGCAAAAAGAGATTAAGTAACAGAATGATCTCAGCTAGCAAGTGGCAGAGTCAGGATCCGAACCCAGAGCCAGGGCCCTAACTACCAGGCACTCCACTGATCACAGAAGACAGGGCTCCACAAGCTTTACTGGTGTGACCTACCGGCCTGACTTTATCCACACCATTAGCATCTTCCCATGGGCATAACCGAGATGAGGTTGAGCATTATCCGTCCATTAACACCTTACAGTAAACGTGACTTTGAGAAGCTCTGGAAGGGCAGCTCTTAGAGGACAGAGGGGGAGAATTTATGGGCAGCACACAGGAGACAGGGTAAGAGGAACTTGGATGTGGCTGTAATTTTTACAGAAACAGTACCATCCCCAGTGTGAGTTTATTAAGGGTGGCTGCCCACAGGCTAGTTCTAAGGGATGGGCACTCTTCGAATAGAAAGCAAGCATCCAAGACACACGGGCTGAATGAGAGCTCCATGGGGTGAGGTGGGAACTGTAGTCAGTATCAGATCATAAAAAACAACCAAGCTTGCTGCCTCAATCTTTAATTAAAATGCCACATCCAAACACTGGGAGGCGGAGGCACTTAGAAACTCGTTCACACGTTTCCGAAGAGGCCTAAAAGATTAAATTCTTTATTTGTTCCTGTAAAGCAAGAGTTGTGTGTGACTGCCTCACTGGATGAATTAGGGACCTCCACAGTCCTTATGCCAGGCTCCCCCAGTGGCTCAGCAGGAAAGAATCCATCTGCAATGCAGGAGACGCAGTAGACTCAGGTTCGATCCCTGGGTTGGGAAGATCCCCTGGAGAAGGGAATGGCAACCCACTTCCGTATTCTTGCCTGAAGAATCCCATGGACAGAGGAGCCTGGCGGGCTACAGTCAGGAGGTCACGAAGAGTCAGACACGACTGAAGCGACTTAGCATGCATGCACAGTCCTTTACTGTAAAATCCTTAAGATTCTGCAACAAGGAGCAGGAGTGATCACACGAGCTCCATTTCTTCCCCAACGTACATTCTTGAGAAGCCTGAACAACTCATGTAAGATAGAAAAGAAATGCATTTAAGCCTTCTGGGAGGGGAGAAAAATGCCAGACAGAATTCACAATAGGAATGACATTGCTTGACGCCACCCTGGCGAAAGCTAGCTGACTCAGAATGTGCAAGAGGGGCAGGGAGGAAGGCAATTTGACTGCAATATTTGTATATTATATTTATCTTTCTTCACAAATAAGATGATGATTGGATTCAAATCACATTTCAAACAGGATTCATTGCCGAAATGTCAAAAATGAGGTAGCACTCAACTCTGGCAAAACCTTGAAATCTGTTCCATAAAAGGCAATTTCAGCATAAAGCACGGTTAACCTTGAATAGCTAGATTAATGATCCAGCACCTTTCAACTGAGCGCCGATGAATAAACAAAACTTTACAAGCAAATTTAGCCACATCTGAGAAGAAAAGCAAAACCAATCAGGAAAGATGAATGGCGGTGAAACAGAAACATTTCGGAGCAGGAGGAGACTGACAGCAAAGGTAGATGCACTGCAGAGAAGTTGTCTTTTCCCTGAAAACCCTCATGCAGCAGAGGATCCATTCTGCTTAAAAACGAAACAGCAACATCAACAACCAGATCAAACTAGACCCTCCTGCCAACCCTCCAGAGTAGTTTCTTGTACTTGGACAGTCAGTTTAAAATGCTGGGTTGTAACCACTTATCTTGCCTACTGAGCTGTTTTTCTAGAAGATGTCCAGTGCATCTACCTTGTCCTGAGCCAGTAAGGGGAGCAAGATGGAGAAAGAAAACTACAGCCCTGGACAGATGGTCCCAGGACAGAAAGAAGACATGCACCATGCCTCTCTGTCCCCCAA